AATAATCTTTATCATTATTATAAATGTTTAAGAATTATTTGTATTAATAAGAGCCAATGGAGTTTATTGAGAGCATATCAAAATATTTTAGTCTTCTTCATATTTAATAAAAAATGTTTCTTAAAGGATTATAGCATCCATATACTATGAAGGAAATAGTTTTTATTAATGACAAAAAATCCATAATTAAACAAATTAAAGAATCAAGGCCAGGCATGGTGGTGCATGCCTATAATCTCAGCACTCAGGAGGAAGGAGGATCACAGCAAGGTAGAGACCAGCCCAAGCAGATTCAAGGCCAGCTTGAACTACAGAGTGAGACTGTCTCAAAAAAAAAAAAAAAAAAAAAAATCAAGACAGATGTTTCTCGGCCTCTATTAAATATTTAAAAGACCAGGCTCTGAAACTACAAGAACATTGCCTCATTGTCTCAAACTGTAACAGAAACAGGAACAGTAATTTTTCCCTTTGCTTTTCAAAACTAAAAACTATCACTACTAAAAATAAACATGACTGTATCATCAAAATGAAGACCTACAGCACATCAGTGACTAAAGGAACATTGATTGTGTCATCGTCTCCAGTACAACCAGTGACCTCCTCCAGAAAGAAAGAAAGTAAACCAAACCAAGCCTTCCTGCACTAAACAGGAGTCCCAGCACTAACCAGAAACAACCCTCATTTTCAGCACTAGAGACTGAACCCTGGGCTGTCGCACCATTATATCACGTAGAATTATTCTGCTAAAACTGCAGAAACCCTAACAACGGCTTACAAGCAGGTTCTTCCACACATAATAATAAAAACCCAAAGAAATATGGCACACCAGACCTGGTAGATTACTGCTAAAGCTATAATGGCCTGAGCTTCCATCTTATTCTTCCCTTTTCACAGGCTGCAGCCATAATTCATGACCCAACACAGCTGCCTAGGTTCCAGACCAGACAGTAGGCAGGCACCACAAGGAGCAACTACACACCCAATGAATGGCACTTAACACTGTTGACACTCTCACTCGTGTACCAAAGGTCAAAGTTTGGTGCTACAGCATTTCCAGCTACAAAAGGCTAACCATGCTACTTACGCGTGGTTAAAAATGGAGGCTGTACTCACCATCAAAGGGATGGGAATAAATGCACACTGAGCAGAATGACTTAGTAATTCTGTTAATAATAATTAGCTTTAATGTAACTAACTTAGATACTGTGCTATAATAAAAGTTTATACTGCATGGGGGGTACAGGAAAAGCATCAAAGAAGGCATCATTAAGGTACACTGGAGCCAGGCCTTGAAAAATAAATTTTAAAAGATACTTTAAGCTGAAGTAATATTCTGAGCAAAAGTAAGGAAAAAAAGTGTTTTAAGTTGAAGGGATATTGTGAGCAAATTACAGAGACAACAATGTACAAAGATCATATCAGAAAAGGTACAAAACAGAGAGCAAAAGAGAGAGAGCTCTTTTTTTTTTCCTCCCTCTCTTTTTTACAACAAAATTTACACATTTTGGATTTTATTACTCCTTAGTTCTTATTACTTTTTTTGGGGGGGGGAGAGAATAAAGTCAAATATGGCAAAACAAAGCTGTAAGTCAAAACCAAGGATAGACATGGATCATTGAACACAGCTGTTTGCAGTCTCTCTGTTTGAATGTCTACTTTGTATTCTTTGATACTGTGATTTGAGCAACTATTTCCAAGATGATAATATGTAATCTATTAACAGGTGATTTCTTACTGTTATGTTTTTTTTTTGTAGTTCTGTATTATGTGTAACCTTACACTGCTTTGTTTTGTTTTGTGTTTTTCTTTTTTTCCTCTTAAATAAAAAAAAAAAACTCAAAAAAAAAAAAAAGAGAGAGAGAGCTCTATTTTGCAAAAAAAAAAGAGCAGGAGTTTTGTGTCATAGAGACCACATTAAATAATTAATCTTACTGCTTAACAGAGAAGCAATCTGAGGCTTGACAGAGAACATCAAGAAGCCTTGAAACAATAAAGTCAAAAAACATAGTAAGGATGAAACAAATCCTAGGCTCAAGGATGGAGAACATTATTGTCTTACTAAGAACTCTGAATTCATTCTGTTAATAATAGTTAGGAAACTAGGTACATTTAAAACAAAGTTGTACTATTTGTTCTTTAAGGAAGGTCCATTTAGTAATTCTCAGAACAAATTTTGGTAATTTTAATAATAAAGAACTCTGTGGCACAATGCCACCTTGCAAAATTTTCACTGTTTTACTCCTCTTTACAGCTTTCAAACCATCTAGGAGACACATGCAGAAAAAAATCTGTTTGAAAATGACAAGTAAAAGATATTTTATAAACTCCAGATATAATTTGGTCTTTACTCAGATACATCAAGCCACTTCTGATTCTGTGAAGTGAAATTTACTACAATTTACTAACCGAAATTTGGTGTGGAAGCACACCTGTTTTGCTGTTTACTATGGAGACAGGAAAGGGAAAGTAGAGGGAAGGTGAAAGGTTTCCATTATTACTGGGAACTACAAGGTTCCATACATAGGGCCAGATTTTTAAAAATATATTCAATGTCTCCTTTAAACCCACCAATGTATTCCTTTAACAGAACTGAGGTTCAGTAAGGTGAGCGTCTGGCCCAAGCCATTGGATGACTAGTGTCATTCCAGCATCAGATAACCAAGATTCAAATGATCATCATTCAAAACTTGAAATCTGTCTTCCCCAAGAGCACCTTCATACAGGTGATACACACATTCTTGCTCAAGCACTCAACCCTTACTAATTATCTCAATTCAGTGGTGCCGCAGAACTTAATTCCTTTATGACTCTGAAAAGATGCCCACATCCCTGTTCATACAGGAAAGAGGCCATGATCATGTTCATCATGCAATGCAGAGTTCAGGAACAAAAAGAAAATTCTGCCAAATGCTTTTGTTTTATGACAAATTGTTCACAAACAAAAAGTGATTGTGAACCAAGATACCATGTTTTGAGCTTGCCTCCCTGGTAAGCAACTGCAGTGTGGCAGACTGTGGCCTTTCCAGGGGGAGAACCACCAATGTCTCCTGAGATCCACGCCATGTTGGAACTTAGGACCCTGCGAAACCAAGCAAGGAGCTCCCCTTCCTGTAAGTGGCTGTAGTGTGGCAGACTGCAGCTCTTCCAGGGTAAGAATCACCAGTATTTCCTGAGATCCAGAACATGCTTGAACTTAGGATGCTGGAAAACCAAGCAACCAGCTTGCCTTCCTGCTAAGCAATAGTGAACCTACTGGTGCACGGCCTAGAGTCAAACATCCTCCTTCCCTTCCACTGTCCTCCTGTTAGTAAATGGGAACCAGAAATCTGAGCATCTCTTGGGAGGTTGACCATAGCAAATAAGGGGGATTTCTTTCTACCATCTCTTTGAAGGCAAATATTTTTGTTATTGTTTTGCTTTATTCTGATTAATGCTACTGCTCTATTCAATATTCTATTTTATAAATTCTATAATGTTCTGTATTTCATTTTATTTTGATATACATGATTGAAAGAACAACTATTGTAAAGATAACACAATATACTGTGATACCTTTTACTGTTATCCCGGTAACCTGCTGTGAAGTTCTGTGCCAGTTTCACAATTTCACTACACTGTCTCAGTTGGCTTTAAAAAAAAAAAAAAAAGATACAGGGGCTTGGGATTTAGCTCAGCAGCATAAGCACCTGCCTTGCAAGCAGGTGGTCGTGAGTTCAATCCCCGGTACCAATAAAAAAAAATGAAAAAAAAAAAAGATACCACATTTCTTTAACTCCAACTTACACCACCCAACTTTTAACCAAAACCTCTCTATTTTTCTATTTTCCCAGATGTTTCCAATTTTAATATTCATTGACCTTCTCCATTTCCAAGTTAGCCCGCTTTCAGATTTACAATGGAACAAGTAAACATTGTAAAGCTTAAGATAAAATTCCACAGATGGAGGTGCATGTACCACTTACCATGCCTTTGAAAGTTTCTTATTCTCTACTGCCCTCTCAAAACAACTGATGAAGGATTTCAATATCTTCCTTTTCAGTCTTGAAGATGCTTGTTTGGGCATCCATGATGGACTGAAATATATGACAAATCTATCCCATCAGGAGGAAAATTCATATCCAGCCAGACACTAAGGCAATTGCAGAGCCCCTAACACAGAATTCCAAACAGCATTTTCAAGATGACTACTTGAACCAAGAACAGGCACTGCTTCACCCAAATTGTTGCTGATGTTTCCACAATCCCAATCTATCTTCTCTCAGCTCCTCCATCAAAAGCAATTGCAATTAACTGCATTTGAACTACTGTCATTTTCTAAACACACTGTGGGGTTTCCTTATGGAATTTTACTTATTCCTCTCCCTCTACCAAGAAAGCCCTTTTAGCATCTCCTCTCTTAGTAATTCTACAAATCTGAGCGCACATCCACAGTCCTCTCCTGCAAGTGACCTTCCTAAGCAGCCACAGCTGGAAGTGCTTCCTCCTTCCTTTCACCTCCTACAGCAGTGTTTCTTCTTCCAAGCCCTTTTTTTTATTGGCACCAGGGATTGAATTCAGTAACAGGCACTTGCAAGGCAGTTTATGCCACTGAGCTAAATCCTCAGCCCACCAAACACTTCTAATAATTTTGTTGAATTACTACACACAGATCCAGAAAAATCACACAAGCCAAGTGTTTAACCTAATGAATTATTCTGAAATGAATGCCACAATACCTCTTCCCTGAACTCCATCTAACCCCAACCACTTCCTTCCTGCCCTGAACCCCTTTGCACATTCCATATCATGGTACCGACTGGAATATATATATGCATGTCCTTATCAGAGTATAGAATTTTCAGAATCTTTTTGCCAATTAGTTCTGTAGTTCTATGACAATTTTGGATTTTGTTAAGGGCCAGGAAGAAATATAGAAAGAAAGAAAGAAAGAAAGAAAGAAAGAAAGAAAGAAAGAAAGAAAGAAAGAAAGAAAGAAAGAAAGAAAGAGCAGAAAGAAAGAAATCAGTTCTCGGCCTCTTGACTAAGATCAAGTATAGTATCTGTTTTTATCAGTTTAACATATGACATGTCCTCTATTCAAGAACAATATATTAAATGGATTTTTGGAGCTGGGAGATGGAATAGGACCTTGCTCCATCCACTGCACACATAGACCTGGAAAGGGGGCGAGGCAAAGATACCAGAGTCCAAGGTCATCACGGAGTTTGCCTCTATTGTAAGTGTGATGAAAGCCATTAAGTCATCTACACCTAGATATTTTCATGGCTGTTACAAAAATACAATTAACCCAGGGCTGGGGATTTAGCTCAGTGATGTAAGCACCTGCCTGGCAAGTGCGGGGTAGTGAGTTCCATCCCCAGTACCAAAAAAAAAAAAAAAAAAAAACCAGAAAAACAAAAAAAACAAGCCACTCAAATCCTGAAAATATTCATTCTTGGATGTGTTGTCAGCTGTTTCTTTAACATCAATAGTGTAGTCTCATCCAGGCTCCAATCTTACATCTTCTCCTACCAGTCAGATGTTTCTTCCCAAAGGTTCATCTTCACCTCCCACCCAAGAAGCAAAGAACAAAGCCATAGCATGCTTCCTACTTAGGATCCTCTTTGCCCTTCTCATTGCTACCACTAATTTCAACTAAAGACACTTTTCTCAAAAGATCCTTCTGTGCAAATCCAGAACAAAGAAGACATGAGGGAACAGGTTCTAAAGTGCTTTTCCAGATGGAATCAAAGAAATGAACCACAAGTTGTGGGTATTTGTGAACTAAATATTTTGTGTTTAAATTAACCATTGAATGAATATGCAATCTAGAAATTCCACACTGGATTTAGTAATGCAAGATTTCCAGATCCTAACTTGGCCTCTGTCCAGCATGTGAAGTTATTTTACTTCTGTGCTTTAGTTTCCTCATCTGTGAGATCATGCCTGAGATTAAATGAGTTGGCCTTTGTAGGTTGGCCTGTCATATGCACCAGGTGTTTGTGATTATCATTAAGACTCTACTTGGTAAGTGCTTATAAAGCAAAGAGTCTTTGGAAAGTCAGACTTCATTCAGGAGTGCTTTAAGAGGACACTGCTGCTTATCAGATGTCTTTATTCTCAATAGAATCTACTTATATGACACAAACTAGTACAAAATACTTTAATGGATCCAAAAAAGTTAATTCTTTAGAGACCCTAGACATCTAATGAATTAATAAGTTACTGAGTAGGACAACATAATAATTTCAGGTAGGTGAGCACTAAAGTAGAGATTAATTTTTCATGGTAATGTGTTCTAAAATCAAGGACAAGTATCTACTTAATGTTTATTTAAATATCAAAATATACGAGGTGACTTGCAAGCAGTAGTAACTTCCCCCTTAGAATAGTATCCAGATGGTACAAGTGTAAAGCCAAGACAGGTGGGGAGGACACTGAGGACCGGTTTGGTAGAAACCTGTCATGAAGGGTGGGAGACCCCACATCACGCTCTTTAACATCAAAGTTCCAGCTCTCATTGCTCTTCCTTGCAGAATCCAGGATAAATTATGCTTAGTTCTGAGGAAGGAAAATTGATATGTTGGCTACCCTGACTTAAGAAATGCTTTTGTCACTAACTGCAGCAAACAAGACTACTGAGTAGGAAAGCAAAACATGTTTTTAGTCTTTATAGAAATGTATTCAAGAAGTGATTTGCTAAGATCTTTGCAGCTTTGTCATTTCATTTGAGTCTTATATCAATAAACACATGAGAAAAAAAAGCAAATTAATTTCCTGGGGTTGTTTCACCTCATCATATATTTTCCCTTACTATTTTAAAGGATTTTTATAGCCAGATACTACTACCAAAAAGAAATAAAAAACAAGAATCCCAAAATGAGAAGGAAATTAAAAAGCAGACAGAAAAAATGGGAACAAAAATGGGAAGCAAGTAATTCGAAATACTTTCAAAAGAACTGTTTGCCAAGTGTGGTAGTACAAACCTATAATTCCAGCATCGGGGAGGCTGAGGCAGGGGGATTACAAGTCAGAGCCAGCCGGGATACATGTCTCTCATACTGTAACTGAGGCTGTCCTCTATTGCTCATAGCACATTTCAAGCAATTTTATTGAGATCCATTTTACATACTACAAAATTCTATTTGAGTTTAAAATTCAGTGGTTCTTAATTATCAATATACCACTATAATCAGTTTTAGATCATTTTTGTCTTCCCAAAAGATATGTCTGTTTCATTTAAACTTTCATGCTAACGCTAGTCCCAGACAACCCCCATCTACTTTCTATCTCTGTAAATCATGTGGTTAGTATAGTGTTACTATTAGTGTGATGAATGTAGAGCGTTAGTTTTGATAAGACATGCTTTATGTAGTCTGAGGTCTAGATCTTTCCCTTTGTGTGCCATGAAGTGACAGATCAGCAGTTCATTCCTTCTTGTTTGCTAATTAATATTCCATTATACAGATCTCTCCCATCTCCATTTGTCTGCCAGTTCACAAGCTGATGAACACTTTGGTTGTTTCCAGTTTCTGACTTTAGGAATAGTACTGCTATAAATATTCAGTCACAGTTTTTCTATTGCTCTTCTTTTTAATTCTTTTCTTCTTTTCAGTACTAGGATTGAACACAGAGCATTCTCACTAAACTACATTCCTGCCGCACTTTTTTTTTACATTTTTTTTTTCTTTTTTAGATAGGCTAAATTAATAAATTTCCAGGCAGCTCAAACTTGCTATCCTCCTACCTCAGCCTCCCAGAGTACTAAGATTACAGACACTCCCAGTATTCACAAGTTTTTGTGTGATCATATGTCTCATTGTTGGATAAATAGGTACATTTGCTGGATCATTTGGTAGTTTTATGTTTAACTTTTTGAGAAACAACAAACTCTTTTCAGATTATTTTACATTCCTAAACTGGTACAACAACTTTGGTAATCATTATGGAGATTCCTCAGAAAACTAAAGCTAGAAATGTCATCTGACTTAGTTACTCTCTTCTAGGTATCTTTCTAAATTATAATTATCTTACAGTGATGCATGCATACCCATGTTTTAACAGCACAATTCATTATAGCTAATTCTTACAGCCTATACCTCCATGGTACCTCCGTTCACAAACTTAATTTATTGTACTGTTCTGGAAGAGATAACCATATTTGTGTTTGTGTGGGAAAGATGACCATGGTAATGTTTGTCATCCAGTACAAAGTTTGCAATCAAAAACAAAATGTTGCCAAATGCTTTTGTTTATGAACCAAACTCGTTGCAAACAAAAGCATTTGTGAACCAAGGTACCACTGCATATCTGTCAAAGGATGAAAGGATAAAGAAAATGTGATATTTACACACAATGAAGCACCGATATCCCAAAAAAGGAGGATAAATTTGAATTATTTGTAGGAAAAGAGATGCACCTTGAGACTATGATATCAAGTGACATAAATGAGATACATAAGCTTAAATATCACATACTGTTATCTGAAAAACTCAAAGCATTGAAACAAAATAAAAGATAAAATAGAACTTTTGCAAATGGGAAGAGGATCTAGAGATGCAGAGAGATGTAGATAAAAAGAATTAAGATGTGGTGAGTACATATACCTACTCCCTATACGAACATGAGCATTGTATGCTGCAAACAAGCACTATTTTTTTGATACTAGGAATCAAACTCAGGAATTACACTTGCCAGGCAGGTGCTATGCCACAGAGCCATATCCCAAGCCCCAAACATGGACTATTAAAGAAAACTATTTTACATTCCCATGGCCATCAAAGGAGGACTTGCATAACAACATTTATTATTATCCATCTCATTTATTTAAGGTATCAAGGTTTTACATGTATTAATGATATGAAAAGAAACAGGCTCTATGGAGAAAGTTTAGGCTAAGTAAGTCAGGAAAGAAGTGCACACTACAGCCCAAGGTAAACAGGCAGCAGCAAGCTCAGTGGTGACTGTCTTGTATCTCTCACTCCTTGGGATGATGTTAGATATAGGCTGTTCTACTGAAAACTTGCACGAGTCCTTGCAAGAAAGATTAGAGACGGTACTTTCTTTGGCTCTGTGTGCAGGACCTCAGGAACTGTTCGATGCACATGTCCTGGAACTCTGCAATTAATAGGTCACACTCACTTCCCCAGCTTGGCCACACGCCCTAGTCTCTTGGCTCACTTTTCCATCAGAGCCACATATCCTAATCATTCTTTATGAAGTGTTGAAGGAATGGAGATCTTCACAGAGCTATTTCCTTCTGAAAGGAATGATACGTCCTCTACGTACTGCGAGTTATACTGGCTGGGTTGAATGAAAAATCCATCAGAAAATGATGAGAGGGGCTGGGGACTCAGGAGCTTATGTCTCTCCAGGCAGGCACTGTGACACTGAGCTGAGTTCAATTCCCAGTACCAAAAAGAAGGAGAAGGAGAAAAATGAGAAGAGTTAGGGACTGTTGAGTTTCCTGTTTGATGAGAGAAAGCTTGGTTAATTTGTCAGAAGAGGAACTTAACCAATAGGTGGGGGTGTGGAGCCCACATAGGCAAAGGGGCAGGTCAGATGTCCATGCTTCCTGTGGAGGAGAAAGGGTGGCAAGGAGGGATGCTTGATAAATTATTGAGGGCCTGAAAGCCATAGCCTTAGCAAGATCACCCACATTATAAAACTGAAAGCAGGATTCTATAGACAGGCTCTGGTTTAAACTGTGGAGATTAGGGCCATTAGTGACCCCACTTATCTATGCCTGGAACTATAGCCCTGCTTTTGAAGCACAGCCCCCTCTTCAAAAGTCCACAGGGATAGCTTTCTTCACTTAGGTACTCTTTCTTTAAATGGTTCAGGTGGGGCAGACTTTATTCTAGAAAGGTGACCACTTTTACTACAGTGAACGTGGCAAGGAGCACTGAACAGAGGCTGTTCAGTTTTGCTTTAAACTGATCTGTGGGATCCCTTTAAGTTTTAATGAGCACTGATCTCCAGGGTGAACACTAGATGATCCCCCTGGACCAGAAGCTGGATAGTCTTTAGATAGTCTGTTGAAGTAACCTGACCCAGATTAGAAAGATACTGTAAGTCTTGAGGTCTCCGGATCTACTACTACATCCTCAAATAGAATATGCCTCCAATGCAGCATCTCAAATGGACTCATATTTAGCCCAGATTTGGGGATGTGTCAAACTTTCATGAGTGCTATCGGCAGTAATCATAACCATGGCTTC